ATCCGGGAGACGACAAAGCTCCTGCCAATTGTGGAAACGGTATGTACAGATGTTTTTTTACTTTACTGCTCACTTACATATATGCCTCAATAACAATAGATATATTTTTCAATACATAATCAATATACATTATTTATAGCATCGGTCACTGACTCGACACAGCAACCTTTTAGCCGGAGGTTTCATAGACTTGGCACATTCATTTTTCATGTTTATCTACATTCTTGGCCGTTTTTTCATGGCCTTAATATGGTTGACACACTAATTGACTGATATTGTAATCATTATTTGATCGACTGATATAAAAAAGTGTCCAGCCCTGCCTTCACGCCAAACTATGCTCTTTTTTCATGTCTTTACTGTCTAATGCATCCTTACTCATTTACCACCCAAAGCTCATTTGCATATATGACCATTCCCATGCATTAATTCCTACATACACTAGCTCTCAATCCCACATTAACAAACCGTGGCACACTCACACTGATTGAATGGACGAACTGAACAATTAACATTAACTATTGTGACTGTCTTTATGCAGGATACTGACACCACTACGAAGAGGGAGATTGCTCTCAAATGTCTCATCCTCAACATGGGAGAATCGGTGGAGGACCTGATCAAAGAATTCCTGGTAAGGCTCGATTACTGTAGAGGTGTTAAAATGCTAGCTAAGGCTGTCCACTTTATATGATGTGTGTCACATTTTACATAACATTTGAGTTATTCAGCAGGTGCTCTTATCCAGATGGAAGTGCAATAATAATAATAATACATTTTATTTAGGTTAGCAGACCAGCAGAGGAGGAGCAGAGGGAGCGAGAGGGGGTGTACTCCTGAAGAAGGTCAGCCAGATGGGGGGAGGCCAGGTTATGTAGGGCTTTGTAAGTGAGCAGTAGGTTTTTGAAGTTGATACGGGATTGAACAGGGAGCCAGTGGAGTTGGATGAGGGTGGGGGTGATGTGTTCTGAGGCCTTGGTGCCGGTGATGATCCGGGCTGCAGAGTTTTGTATGATGTTAAGTTTATTGATGAGCTTGGTGGGAATGCCTGAGAGGATGGCGTTACAGTAGTCGATGCGTGACGTGACAAATGCATTGACCAGGACTTCAGTGTTTGATTGAGAAAGGGATGGGCGGAGTACAAGTCAAATTAAAATATCACCAACACAGCGAGTAACCAATAGGCAGTCCTAGTAGCGTTTAAAGACGTGCTCAGACAATAGCTACAGACAAGAGCCAAAGCAATGCATCACGATACAATGCCTTCTTCCAGTGCCGCCTACAGCTAATTATGGCCTTCCAGGACGTCCACGATATGTCTAACAATTAGGCTATTCATCTGGGGGGAAACCCAAGCTATATCAATTTCAGATTTTTTTTTTTCCTAAATTCTTTTCCAGGTGTCGGAGAAGGAAGAGGCTGGACAAATTCTTCAGCAGGAAACTATTTCAATCTTTGTCATCAGAGATGCACAAGCTGCACCCAAAGACATTGGCATCATACTTAAGGGACAAGAGGTTGTGAATAAATTGGCGTCCGTCGCAAATGCTGTCGCCTAGGCTTCCTTTATGCTCTCAATCTGGACAATAAGACATTGAAATTGATATTTGACTATATCCAGAATGTCTTCATGGAGCTGGAGCCGGAATACATGCCCACCAAGGTCAAGAAGCTCTATGACCAGCTCTACAATAGAGCTTTGTTCAGGTTTCCCACACGTCCAAGTTTTCCAGTCATTGAAAATGATAAAAACTATAAAGAGTCACAGAAAACGTATGTGACTGTCCTGGAGAATGAAGCGGTCGTATGCCTCCGCCAACCAGTTGCTGTTTACATCCAAGTCTGATTTTTCGCTATTATTGCTATTGACCTTTGAACCACCAAAATCTTATCAGTGCATCCGTTTATTCTAATTGTATCTAATTTTGTCATAATTAATCGCATATGAACTTCTGAGTTATGGCCAAAAAACATGTTGAGGTGGTGTTTCTATGTTTTATTTTATTATTTTAAATTGTTACATTTTATTTGATCAATGCAGATACCCTGTAAATATGGTTGTTTTACAAGTAATAAACCCGTTATTAAATATCACAATGTATAATGAGAATTATTGATGTAATCTATATTTTTTGGATTAGATTAAACATTCAGTTTATGTTCCTTAAAGGTGGGGTAGGTAAGTTTGAGAAACCGGCTCGAGATACACTTTTTGTTATATTCCATGGAATGCTCTTAACGTCCCGATAGCAATGAATATCTTAAGTGCTTTGACAAAAAATCCATTAATAAATGTCATCTATGGAAGCCGTAGCGCTGTAAAAAGCACGACCAATCATCTGAGCCGGCCCGGCTAAAATAACTGGATGGCCTACCTGCCTGTCAGCCTTCCATCTGTGCACAAACTTATCTCGTGCCCTCATTGGTCATGTGCGCGTTCGTGTGTGTTGGAGGAGGGGCTCTGTAAGGAAGTGGCAGATTTTTTCCGGCTGTGTATTTTCAAATTCTAGCGCACTCGAGCCAAAATTACCTACCCCACCTTTAAATGAGAAAAATATAGTTTAACAAAACTATATTTTTGATTGGATAAAACAAATAATTGTTTGTGAATTGTATTTCTTATACGAGAAACAATTTATTGATCAAATCTATATTTTTTTGTTTAGATTAAATATAGAATTTAAATTAATTGACTTCCTTCAACAAGAAAAATATACTTTATGCCAAGGCTTATATAATAGTTTCCATGGACATAAGAAATATTGTTTGAGGCAAGTTATTTATTTTTTCATTGGCTCAAGCTATAGAGTATAGATGTGAACTATTACCCTATGTCCCTGTCTCCTGAGACACAACCTTCCCCTGGCAGGCCTCGGTTCCCCTGTCTGGGTTGATACCAACAAAGCACCTAAAAAAAAACAGAAATAGCATACAAGATATTGATGTGGTGGGTACAAATGATTTACACTTAATACAGAGCTGAATACTTATCAAAAGCTCTTGTGCATTCAGGGAAACCACACTTAAATGATGCATCGGGAAGACAAATGCTGCGAGATATCATGTTTACACTGCAGCCTACTGTATATGGATAAAGCAACATAATCCCACAGTTTAACACATACAATATTTAAACTAATCTCTCACCGGACAATGGTATTGTTATCAAAACAGAGACAGCCAGATAACTGACAGTTAACAAATGCTTACTGAAGAGCACCTTTCAATCAACGTTGCACATTCTAAAATAAATTGTAGTTAAAGTAGCCACACAACAAATAGCAAAAAATAGTCAATTTCGTCATATACAGTAGGTTTTGCAACAAATCAATTGACAGACAAGGCTATAAGTTTGATTACTTAAGAATTCAATGCTGTGGCTCTGAGAAGAAAATGTTAAAACATGTAACTAACTAGGTAGCAAGTTAAAGTTAATTTACAACATTTGCAAGCAGTAGACAATCATTTTGGCAAAAATCTTTCAAAACTATGTAATTTCAGATTAAAACTGGGCTAAATTAACTTTGACAAAATTGGTATTACCTTGGTAAGAGCAGGATGGATCCTGATGAATGAAGAAATGTAGCATGTGGTAAAATGACGACTTCAATGTGCTGCCAAGGTTGTTTCCAAGCTGAGAATCTTCCTCTTCTTCCTTCTACCTTGACACAAATCTGCAATCTTCTATATTGTATGCCTTTGGAGGAATTACTTTGTGTTTAATGTAAGCTAAATAAGATGGTGTATCTTGATGCTCTAGGATTATTTCCAAATGAATTAACCTGTTGCCCGATAGCCCCCGAACTTCTTAACATTTAAGAATGGAGCAACTCTAGCAAACTCAACTGAAACACAAGAAATACTGTATTATACTGTAATATTGCACAGTAACTTACTGTTTATACGTCTTTCCTCAAAATCATGAACATTAACAGTATTAATCTGTATTTACTAAAAACGATAGATTACTGTAGAAGATCTGTATTTTTACAGCTATTTGATACAGTGCAGGTTCAAGCTTAACGTTCTATACCCGCACACAGCAGCACCAGTTTGTATCTTCTTTTCTCTCTTTCTCTGGTTTCAGAACAGGCAGTCCTGACCAGCTGTGAAATGAACATGATTGGCTCTTTGCTGCATGAACATCGCCCTCCCTCCCCCACATGCATTGACCACATCACATCTTGTCTGGTGTTGTTTTCGATCCCTTTATTTTGTCTTTTTATTTCAAAATCTATGTTTCACAAATCCAACCCCTGTCCCCTCTGAGGTCGTGCACAGATGTTTAGCAGCTTCTCGTGAAGATAACAGTGAGTGGAGGCTGTCGGTGTGTGTTTGAAGTGAATGCATGCAATCATCTGATATGAGGCTGGAGACTGAGTGTCTTGTCTGTCTGTGGACCAGCTGTCCAGGGACGTGTTTGTGGGTGAGCAAGGATGTTTGTGTGTGTGTGTGTGTGCGTGTGTGTGTGTGTGTGTGTGTGTTTATCCCTACTGTTATCTGTGACCGATAGTTATGAGCAGACAGACTGACGCTTTCCCAAGTGTTAGCCTTGGGGCAGGCTGGGGAGAGGTGTGTGTGGTGTGGTGTGGTGTGTGTGTGTGTGTGTGTGTGTGTGTGTGGATGTGTGTGAGAGAGAGTAAGAAAGGAGGAAACGAGCTGTTTGTGTTTTCTTCCTTTTCTTGCAGTTTTTCTCATGATCTGACTTTCAGCAGAAATCATAATTTTCAGACATTCTCTCTCACTATACGGTATTCCATTTTTGTTCTTCTTTCAAGGAAAAACTGCCTACATTACTTTAGAAATGTTATTATTGTGGAGTAGAGTTATGCCAAAATCAAATATGAAGCTACCTCTCCCCAGTTTTTCTCAGCTTTACATATAAACTACAACATCAAGGAAATAACTAGCCCTCTGTCACGAGGTAGCAAAATTGACTGTAGTCTTTTATTTAAAAGACAGAAATTGGACTTACATTGGTCACATGCCAAGAGACATAGTATCTGCTGGATAATTTATAAAGTTATAATATACCAGTGTTGTGCTTTATAACTTGTTTGAACACGCCTAGGCAAGGCCGGATTAGTACCTCCAGGGGCCCCTGGGCACTGAGAGCTCAGGGCCCCTCAACCCACGTACCAACACGCCTACCCAACATGACCAATATTTTAATTTTTCATTCAATCTGGCATGTCAATCGCACACCTATTTGTCAAAAGCAGGGACGCAGCTACACAGTTCAACCAAAGTAGGACTAGCCTTTTGCCCTTTCAGTCAAAAATCACAAGACAAAGATACAATGGATAAGATCTCAAGACAGTGTATGGCTCAGGAAGACCTAGAGAATATCACTCAAAACCTGAGAGCAGCACCCCACTTGAGAGAGAGAGAGAGAGTGTGAGTTTTTTCTTCTCTCTTGTCACTGAGGGCCCTCTCTTGCTCAAGGGTCCCTGGCATGTGCCCATATGGTTAATCCGGCCTTGCGCCTAGGAAGTGATACGGGCAGCGAGTGTGTGGGAGCCTATCAGCAGAGCAGCCAAGTCCAGTCAAGTTGAGTGGAGGGCAGCACTTTCAGTAAGCCCAGAGAGGAAGATGTGTCAGTCACAAACCAACTGGTTAAAACAAGACAAAACACAGTATGTCTAACTACACAGCGTGTTTGTGCTGCTTAAGGATGTGATGCTTTCATGTAAATCACTGCTCATATATTGTGTTTACAATTGTGCAGTTTAGACTGTTTCCAGGTAGCAGTACATATACCTGCAGACATGCTTCATAACGAACATAACAAATACCCAAAGAAAAGGATTTGCTCTGATGGAAGCTTATTTGATTCTCTAGGCACCGGTCCTGTCTGCAGCCTCTCTGGTTCCTCCTCTCAACACCTCCCTGGATCTTAGGTGAGTGCCTTCAGTTCAACCCAATCACACATTCAAATGCTTTTACTGTATTTAGAACATTTCATTTGTTTACATTTTTGGATTTTTTTATGGAAGCTTGTAGTATTTGATTTTTTACCTTAATGCAATTGTGAATTATATATAATATATATAATTGAGAGTTAGACAGTTTGTTGGAAGGGGTTACCGGGTAAATCTGGGTAAGAAAAGCTCAATTCCTCACACAGTGAAGCCTGCTTTAAACGGACACACTTCTGTAAAGAAATAAAGGATTGGATGTGGCCACAGTTTCATAATTGTTGGAACAAGGAAATGCAATCAGCCAATCAGAGAGTCATCTGAGTTGCTTTGATTTATCACCAGCTCTCTTCCTCTCCCTTTGTTAATGCTTTCTGTCCCCAGCTGACTTTCTTTTCTCTGTTGTCTCTCCTTTCTTGCTCCAAAGCTAAAATGGGAAAACCTCAATCTGGGGTTTAAAAGTAAGGTAAATACTGAAGCTACTTCTTGGCAAACAACATGGGGAGTGTTATGGTTCCCCTAGTATACACATGTCTGGACGTAATTGCCCATTTTAATTGACTCCTTGTTTCAGTGATTTATTGGATGATGAATTCAGCACATTTTTGTGCAGAGGATGTATGGAAGCTGTGTCACAAGCAGGCCAAAAACATCTGCTTCTTTACTCAAGATAAATCACTTTGATGAATTGTTGTAGGAATATTCATAGTGTACAGATTTGAATGAAAATGTCTAGGCCACATCCAAACCTTTACCCAGGCATCAGGTCCACACTGGTGCAGTGAGCTAAAGGCGGCCAAAGTCCCGTGACTACTTTGAGCAGTCTCTTTTACGACACAGTAGCTTCCTACTAGGGCTGCCCTCGACTAAACATTTTTCTAGTCAATTAAGGTGATTAGTCGACTAATCGTTGCACGTTTATATATTATGATTATAAATATATATATATTTGTTTTAATTCTTATTTTCTTCTCCCAAAATGGTTTCAGTTTCAAAGGCTGATAAAGAACATTATTAAAACAGCATGGTACGTTGTGCTTCACATACAATATAAAATAAAACTGTAATAATGAACCTTTGAAATATAAATTAAATGTAGAGAGCGCATGAGAGTCACAGCGCACGGATGCAGCGGTAAGGATTCTTATTGTGTGTGTGAACAAGCAGCGAGGACACACACATAGTTTCTATTATTCATATCTGAATATAACAACCCAATAAATACTACAGAGGAAACAGAAACACTGAAAATATGAGCATCGACAAAAATCCCTCCGCATTACGCCCTGATCAAGAAATTAAAGCTTTATCGTTTTCTGAGGTCAGAATGTTTATATCTTATAGGTCTAAATATGTTGATACAAAGCTAGGCCACTGCCTGGGTCACTGCTGCTGTTTTCCTCAGTCTGAGAAAGTAACACACGTTGTCGTCGGGATAATTAAGCTCTGTGTTTTGTTATGAAGCCGGCATTCAGGAAGCTGCGCTGTGATGGTGTCGATATGGAGGAGACTTTTTGCCGTCGTAGTCTGCATGTCACCTTGTCCTTTACTCGCTCAGAAAGATCCACACTCTGGATTTCCTGCCTGATGTTGCGTTTCTATAATTTGAGGTAGGAGTAGCTGAAAATAATCCAGGAAGCTTCTCGTCAAGTTAATGATACGATAAGTCTGCAAAAGTACTCGGTCGAGGTCTTCTCCTATTTCTCTGATCCACAGTCAACATAAAATGCAGTTATCTGTCTCTCAGATTCACAGGAAGAAGTCCCATTCTCTTGTGTACATCACATTTTATTCTCTCTGTAGATTGAATAGAGTCTTCTAACATTGGTTGGCGGGGAGGGGCCAGGTTCTATTGGCCCCTTTGTCTGCGCATAGGTGTGACCCAAGTCCCCAGGAAGTGCGCCGGACTCTGAGGAAAATATTAGTTGTGGCCAAACGGCGGTACTACAATTTCCGTATCAGTCCGTGACGCCACTGGGCCCTGAAAGACTTTTCCCATTGACTAACATGGGGAAAGAGACGTCTGTAAATCAGCGGATAATCTTTTTTAAACTAAATAAACTACCCAGTATGAACACTTTTATAGCCCTTATTAGATTTGTAGTGGCATCCAAGGTTTCCTTTTGCCACTATAGAGTGGGGTTGACAACACGCAATCCAAAGCAATAAGCAGCCGAAGGTTTTCAGTCCAAAAAAAAGAAAATTAATTAACAAAATATTATTGACTTAAATAGACTCAAAATAAAAAATCTAAATCAATATTTCAGCGATATACTTTCTTATATTATTATACTTTGTAGTCCAATTTGCAACACTAATTTTCAATGACAATTTGCAGTCGAAAACTGTTCCGCTCCTCGTCTCATCAGGTCTCATCAGGCTGTCCTCAGTTGCCTCACTCAAATAAACACCCCTTGGGGTTGCACCGGAAGGTACAAGAAAACAGATAATATTTACGATTTAAAATAAACAATAATTTCATCAAAAGATATTCACCATGTCAATATAAATAATTGTCCTCCTTTAATTTAACGTTATACGTCAAACGCGTTATATTACGTCACATGGGGGAGCAACTTTCTCGGACTCCTTTTCTGCCCAATCCGCGGTAGTAGTGGTTTGAGCGGTTGTGATTTAGTGAGCTGGTATTTTTTCGGTAATTTTACATTGCATTTCACCATTTGTAATCATGGTGAGCTTGTGTTTGTACAAGTTGCACAAACTCAAGCCTGTGAGTGTCAGGACTTCGAGTCCACAGTTTCCCTAACAGGAAAAGGACCGGAGCTAGCGTTCGTTCCTGGGTGCGTTGTGCGAGGTGCATCCACCTCATAGCACATACAGTACTCTCCACAGCTGAAGCCTATCAAACAAAACGTTTATCAGGAAACCGTATTACATCTCTCTCCCTCCCTTCGCTGCTCTCTCTCTCTCTCTCTCTCCCCCCTTCGCTGCTCTCTCTCTCTCCCCCATTTGTTCCTCTCTCTCTCCCCCCCTTCGCTCCTCTCTCTCTCCCCTCCGGTACACAGCACCGTAAGACGTAGTGTGGAGTTGCATTAGATAACGCGAGATACGGCTGATACTTAGTTTATGTTATGGATCAGGATCAACAGTCCTGCCAGTAATGTTACTATATTATCAATACTACTTTAGTTATAGCCTGATATATGATAGCTAACTTTACAATGTTGTGATGTGACCGACGTTAGCTAGCATTAACTGTAGCTAACGCCGGTCACTCACCAAGACAGCTGCCCTGTTCTCCACTGGTTCTCCTCACACCACAGCTCCATTTCTCTCCGATGGCCGTTATTTCTTCTAATCCTTGGCTGCTCCTGGTCTCTTGGCCGCCTAGCAGGCTCATAATTATAAGTTTGTGGTCCGTCATATGCATACGAATATACATTTTCAACCTCTTCTGTGTCAAAACTAGCATTGTGAACCATGTTTATTAATACGATAGACCGGCCGCTCTCCCTCATGTGACGTCACACGCGGGTGGTCTTTTTTTATGCGTAAGTAAACATGTCTTACAAAAACGACGCCAGTTGTCACCAGTGTTGTGCTCGTTACTGAAACCCAGTAACTAGTTACCATTACTAGTTACTTCATTTCAAAAGCAACTCAGTTACTTTACTGATTACTTACAAAAAAAAGTAATGCGTTACTGTGAAAAGTAACGTTTTAGTTACTTAAAAAAAGGGCTCCCATTAATGCCCTTATAGCCTTCATTTCAGTAATGTTATTGCATTGGAGAATAATACAATCTGTTGATCAACTTGACATGCATTATATGCAATCTGGATTGCATCGATATTAGCTGGCTTTCCATTTTTGTATATTCTTTCTCCAGGTAGTTGGAAAAAGTTTTCGTCCCATATGCCGTGTGCCGCCCGGACATGGTATCATGCTAACTAGCTCCCTGAAAGCGGGTGACTCCACTGTAGCAATAGCCTGCATGTGTTCTACAACATACCGTGCAATGGCTTAATCGACTTTTCCCTGGCTAGCAGTCCCTTGGTTAAAATCCAGCCGCTGTTGCTTAGGTGGAGGTGGAGTGGCGTCGGCTGAGTCTCTGTGGTCTTAGCGACTAGCTTCGTCCCAGCATGTTGTTTTTGCAGATGTTTTAAGAGATTTGAATGACTGGTTTGGGCAGTAGATAGGATCTTTGACCCGCCAAGACACAACTTACATTTAACTAAAACGTTCTTTTCTTTGTGCTCGACAAAAGTGAAATAGTGAGAATATCTCCAGGTGGAGAAACTAGACTTGAGCTCCGCCGCCGCCATGATAGTCTTGTTAGTAAACAACACAAACACGCCCACAGCCCGTCTCCGCATGTGACACAGGAAGTATCTAAGTACATTTACTCAAGTACTGTACTTAAGTACAGTTCTCATCTCTGTTCGCCTGACTGTTGACCAGTGACGTGCGGTGAGGTTCATGGCTGGTGAGGCATTGACTCTTTCAGAGTCAGATTTACAAATATTATATTTTGACCTTAATCGAAATATTCGGTTATTTTCCAAAGCTTTTTTAGTCTGATGCTTCAATTCATTTTAAACAGACTGTTCAATAAAAGGATAGGCCTACCCACAATTTAAATATTGGATTGTTCTTTCTTAGTAAGATAACATTTGCATTACAATTGTGGTCTTACCTTGACTTGAAGATGAAGTCCATGCTATCCTTCTGGACAACAATCTCTATTACTTTTTTGTAAAAGTCCTCCTTATCTTCCTGTAGTTTCAAAAGTCTAGTTTGTTGTTCGCGTCTACCGCATGGATGTATAATAAGAACGGAGAATAACAGTCGCAACAAGAACCTCTGGGCTCACTTGCGCCCCCTTCAGTGCGGCAGAGGTTATGGCTGCCTCTCCTGGTGCTTTTTCATTGCCGTTGTATGATGAGACCAGCGAGCCTAAATATCATACGTGAAATAAGTTATTTATGCCCCGGCCACACGAGGACAAAAACAGCCGTTTG